TTATATTTGAAAAATCTCTCTTAAAAAATTACAGATTAATATGCATGTAGATTTCTCACCCTTTTCGACAAAAATAAAAGAATTAAAAATTACAGTAGAGTAATATCTATAAATTAGAAATACACAAGTCAGTAAAGTTTCTGTTCAGCCATTTCCTAAGGATTTATTCACTTTACAAGCACAAATTTAATCGCTTTCGATGTTCTTGTAAGAAAGGATATCACGTAGCCAAAGCGAAAGTAGCACTACGATTGACATCAGCGCCACCTTGTCTGTGACGTCACTAACCTCGATGTATGGACCGAACGGTTATAATGGAGGAATATAAGCGCTTTCGACACTATATTTTCTAGCCACTGTAGCCGCCAGTATGTTAGAAAGCCATCTACCGGCAATTAATAGTAAAACAGCATAAAAAAATAATAATAATTAAAATTAATTTAAATGAATTATTACATGAAATTTAAAATTAATTAATATAAAATTTTAAAATAATACAATAAAATGAAAACATTTCCTTAAGAATGACGACATTAAACGGAAGCCACCTACTGGCCATACCGGAAAGTTGGAGAATTACCAATTGACGTGTATAGTAAATACCTGCTCAATAATGTTATTAATTGTGTATAAATAAGATTTTTAGGATAGATTATAAATAAAATACGATGTTAATGTTGTTAATTTAAGAAATAACGTAAAGAATTAGGGATAAAATGTCGTGGTTGGGCGATAGTTTCTCTTCTTTTACTGGACATTTAACTAACATCACTAAGGAGATGCTTAACGAAGGAAGGGAGGAAGTTGATGGTGAGTTTATACCATTTTTACCAATAGACTACACTATTTTACATCAAAATTTCCTTTATTTTGCTATAAACAGCTTACAGATTGATATCCAAGTCACATGTTATACACCCACAACAAGTACACATACCAAGGGATTTTATGATAAAATATTGCATTTTCTGGTTAAATTAACTCAAATATACCATATTTAATATGTGCTGGAGTTTCATGACACATTTTTCCCCCATTTTACCTACATTCTTGGTAAATATCTGCGTAATGAATCATAACGCTGATCCGGTTAATTAACTGGTGTGTAACGTGCTGCATATTTTATGGAATTTTATCTTCTCGTAGGGATGTGTATGAAAATGTTGAAATTTTAAGAGATTTATTGAAGTTTCCGCCATGTTTCGCATGGTAGAAAGCTTACTGGACTGATTTTTGTGGTGTTTAAGTTTGGTTTTGCATACGATAAACACCAAGTTATAATTTAGGCAGTTATATCATTGCGTGCAAAATTACCTGTTTGAGTTTTGCATCGATATATATTTTTTCCATATGTTGTTCAAACTTTAGTGTTTATGTAAGTGTAAGTGCATACAAATACAGGGTTGAATGAGGTGATTGTGATCTTTTTTGAGCTGTAAACTGTGCCCATAAGGGTAAAAAGGTGAATAGTCACAGACCGTCGGTTCCTTTGACTTTTGATTTGACTGGTATGTGAGCTTTGGTGAGGTATGGCCCACTTGAAATTAGCTTATTATTACAAAAACTTTAGGTGAATATCTCACTACAGGTCATAATTAGAGATATGGTTCCACTTTTTTGGTCACCTGAGGGGTAGGAATCTGCACACTCCATGCATTATTCAAACTCAAACTCGGTGCATTGTCGATAAAATTGATAACTTGTTCGTTCGAGTCAACAATAGTCTACTGTTTGTGTCAATTGCCGATAAGCTAATAACTGATATGTACAGATATAAGCTTGTGTATTTTACATTTAAACATCCAAATCTTTAGCAATATTCTGAATTTTGAGATGAATTCTTTGTTAAAGTGACTGATAAATTATCTGTTTGCACATAAGTCAGATAAGTGACTGTTTATTATTGAGGGTGGAGGCTGCATTAAATTATTATGCTTTAACAAATCCAGCTGTTTGCTTGATATAATTGCATTTATTATTTAATGGGATGTTTCGATTCTTATTTTTTATTTTATTATGGACGTTATCATTTATTTCTTTGGTTTAATAGTTTATAAATTTGAATATAAGCTAGAGATTATGCTAAATTTTTTATTTTTGTGGTGGGGTACATAGTTTTTCAGTACTTAACTGATAATTTTTTTTTATTAATTGGCTCATTAGTGCGTTAATACAAAACAATTACTTGTGAAATACATTCTAAATAATGTTTGATTTGTTTTTGTTATGGAAAAATTTGAATTTTGTTATATAAATAATACAAAATCACTTGTTGAAGGTATTCAGTGACTTAAAATATGGTAAATCGGTGATGCATTATGTAAAATCACAATAGATTCATGGACTTGAGACATAGCCTAGTTTTGTGTGAACAGAGTTTAGGAAGAAATCAAACTGAATTCAAGAGTAACTTAGTTCATTTTATTCAGTTACTTATGTGTTAGATTGGTCTATGGTAATTAAAATATGAAATGAAGTTGAAATGTGAATTGTTGATGGTTTGGAGAATATATCATGCAAGCACCCTTCTATTGCACCATCTAAATCAGGGGTTGCCAAACTTTTTTAACTGTCGACCCCCAATCACTTTCCAAAGCCTCACATTGACCACCACTGTAAAGTTTTATTACAAGTGAATGTGTATGAGCAAAAAAAACAATGTGGTCTCTGTATAAGCAAAAAAAAAAAAAAAAAGGTGACTCCTTAGCCGCATTGACCCCCCAATGATGTTGCATCGACCCCTGATCTAAATTGACACTGCAATGGTTGCACTTAAGCAGGTTGCCACTACTAATAAGTGCATGTGAACTCGTCATGTGCCATTACCATGTTGTATATAGGTAAACTTTAAATTGCAATATCTCCAAAATTATTCATTGTTTTGAAAAATCCAAAAAAACTGGAGTTTCATTTTTCTATTCTCTTTCCAATGACGCTTAAATTATTTTTCTACATCTGTTTGCTGCAGACTTATGGAGCATTATACAACTATCTGCCAAGTGTGCTTGTAGACATTTGTGTAAGAATTAAATGAAAGTTTTATCTTTATTTGTCATGTAAGTTTTGCTTCAAGAAAAGCAATTCAAATTGAATTTATGCTCGAGAGACAAGTATAACAAAACTATAATTTGGCACATAATGGCACTTTAAACTCTGCTCACACTACAGTCAGACTCGAGTACCCGTGAGATTTTGTACCAAAGAGCAAAACACTAGTATCTTCCAAATGTAATATCTCCCATATAGGGCTTAATGGAGAAGTGGGACAATGTAATTGAGAAAATTGTAGTTAAGGAAAATTCCAGTTGTCTTGCCTGAAGTTTACTTTATTCATTCTATTCACCTTCAATTAGATTATAAAGCAGGCAGTAAAATCTCTGTGCTGTGGGTAAAGCTATGTTTGTGTTGTTGTACAAACTGCTGTGTACAAGCACTAACTGAAACAAAATGTTGCTTGCATTGTACTACATGATACAGTTAGAATGTGATTTGTTGGAAAAGATTCATTTACAATTGCTGATTATAAGGAGAGACTCAATTGGTTGAGCAAGCCAAAATTTGGCAAAAGATATTTTCGACTTTAATTGAGTAGAAATTAACTTCAATAGAATCATTGAAAGCAGGATAGATTAAAGTCAGAGTGATAAAAGAAGATATAGTAACACCAATATTGAGAACACATATATCAGATTGGCTTCTTGACTAATTTATAAAATATTTTAGCTAAAAAGAAATGGTTTTTCATGTATATATATTTATTTATTTGTGGTTATACTTTTACATTATAAAAAACTGTTTTGAAATTATTAGCTCATGCTGTTCGTAATGGAAAAAATAATTTGCTTGTTGCAATTGTAGATTATGCAACCGAACTGAGTGTCGCAAATAAACAAATACAAGATTTAGAAAGTCAATGCAACTTACAAAAGAAAGAAGTAAGTATTTTTTCATTATATTTTACTATATATTTAAGTTTTTTACTTTTATATTCAATGTGTAAACTACTATTTGATCTATATAATACAGTATGTTCTCCTCAAACATCTCCAGTTTTGTGGATTAATTTTAGAAAAAGAAACACGAGTATAGTAATGTAGATAATGGTCATAGAAATTAATTTGAAACAGTTAGTTACTACATTAAATCAGTACATTTCTTTGTATGCTCCTGATGTACAACTGGTTTATACTTGATTTTGGCTGATGTTGAAGCCAGCATGTTAGGATTCATGCAGTTAATGGCAGCTGTGGTTTTTACAGACGGTGTGATCCTTGACGTGCCCACAAAGTTTGAAGGTTTCCTTCATGTATGTGACATTTAAATAGTGGCCAGTTCTCATAGAAAGACTTCCCAAGAGGCAGAAGATTGCCCAAGTGTTGTATTGCTTTATCCCATTAATCAATCCATCCGTACAAATTTAATATTAAAATATTCAAGTACAGTCGACCCCCCCATAACGCGGGTTCATATAATGTGGATTCGTATATTGTGGTGAAAAAATTTTGACCGTATTTGTATAAAGACACTAAAAGAGACTCATAAAATGCGGTAAAACATCATCGCCGACTAGTGTCGCGACAGAATTGGTCCAATCTGAACTACTTACCCGCTACGGAGAGTTTAGGCGGGTAAGTTGAGTTTACTATCGTCTGTACGGTATATAAATTAGGTACTGTAAGTAATACAATACTGTAATTTTATACATTTCTTGTGAAAAAAACATTTCTTATTTAACGGCCATAAAAATTATTTCCATTAATGATGTCTCCAAAGTTCAACGAATTTTTCGCAGAAAAATAACTTATCAGAAAACGCGCCTGCCATTTGGTGCGCTGCTTTGCGACGAAAACAAGCTTAAGCAATGGCATCGTTGAACGGTGTACATCAGTAAGTAATCGTACAATTTTTTATTTATAGCATAGTTTATAAGGATTATTCCCAAAAAATGATATGTGTTTTGGAAATGTTGAGTCAAATTAGTCTAAAATCGATTAATTTTATGGAAGAAAACCTTTCAAAACAGCTGTAGTCCACAAACTGCACATGTGCTGGGTTGTGATTGGCTCATGTATTTAAGGATTCCTACAATGTGAAATTCTTACAAAGTGGAACGTATCTACCACTTTATGGGGGGGTCGACTGTACTATTCAAGATCCAGTTATATAAAAAAATACAAATTCTTCCATGTTTTGAAATCGTGTCATATTCTTTGCAAATTTTTATGAATTTTATTTTAGTTATAATTATTCTTACTGTTAATGTCAGGTGGAGCGCCTTAGAACTTTAAATGGTGAACTGGAGGAGCGATGTCAAGCTGCCGAATTACAGATAAATGCCATTTCTTCTCAGTATCGTAATTTGCTACAGAACAAGGAGGTAAATTATTCTATAATGTTTATAATACAAAATAATTAGTATAAGTAACTTTTGGTAAACAGTTTCTAGATTTTCTAAATATAAAACAAAATGTTGTTATCTTATCAAAGATGATAATGTGTATATCATGCTTAATAATATTAAATCACATTTTAATTTACATCCTGAAACACAATATCAATCACTAAGCATATTAATCAATTAGGTTTTACTTCTAGTCATTTATTTTTTTCTTTTCTCTTTGATGCTATAAGTTTGCTTGCTACTTCTGCATATAGTCCTGATAGTATTCCTTTTATTTTTTATAAGAAATTAGTACTATTGGCTGCCTCCATTTTCCTTCATCTATTTCTCCAGACTATAGACTTAGGCTACATATCTGCCCAATGGACTCACTCAGTCATTTCTGTTGTCCCAAAAGAACTTGACTCTTATTGTCCAATTTCTTTAGCCATGCCATGTTGAAATTATTTGAAATTTGCCTATATATAAAATCATCTACCTCCTGATTACCACTCGATGTTTCATCAACATTCTGGTATAAAACATTGCTCTATAACAAGCAATCCCCTCGAAATTCAGCATATCATTCTATCAGATTTCAAGTTAAAACTTTCTACCTAATCTACTGTTCATAACCTATATAAATAAAACACTTTCTAGTATTTCTTCTTCATTCATAAATGCATATGTCTATGATATTATAGTTGCCAATAGCTGTCATCATTCATTACAAAGCAATATTAATAAACTTAATTTCTTACTTAAGAAGTTAAATTTACAATTAAATTCTAGCAAGACAAAATTCTTGTGTGATACAAGTTTTTGCATAATTTTTAAGAAGGAATTAGACTATGTCACAGTCTACAAGAATTACATTTTACAGCTAGGTGAAAGCAATACACTAAAAATATCATCACTATTTTCCATTTTATTGTTTTTAGGATGAAGTGAACCAACTGAGACAACACAGTCAACAAAATGGTACCGGAGACGCCACGCTGCCACCTCTGCTTAGTCCAGATGAGAAACGAGGCTTTGATGAGGCAGATCTAGTCGACCTCATGTCTTACCAGACGGAGATCAACAGGTTAGCTGCTGAAGTCAGGCGACTTCGTAATGACAGGGACACTTGGAAGCAGTTAGTCGACAGTCAATCTCCCTCTTGCAAACAGGTACTACTACTTAACTCTTTTGTAATTACTTTCCACTTTGTTATTCTTGTATTGTATATATTCATTGTTGCAAAATTCACTCAGTCTCTTGCATACTTCACTCAAAAATCTTGACTCAATTACACTTTAGCACTTTCTATTAATTTGTGTTACAAATGTTAAAAATGTACCACTTAATTGTAATTAACTCTATTTTTTCAATTTGTATCATGCTAGTTTTGCGTGATTTTAATTAATTGAAACTCATTTTTCTTATAATGAAATCGTGCCTTTTCTTTGTTACTTTTTCTTACACACAAGTGGTATAATAAGGCAATAGACTATTGCCTTATTATACCACTTCATTGCATGTATGAAGAAGTAATTTTTAACTCAATTTAATTTAGCATAATTATATTTGGAGTTAACTATTATTGGATGCTATTATTAAAGAAAATGAATAGAAAACTGTATAGATTTTGCATAAATTTTGGTGTTTTAGATGCAAGATTCTAAAAAAAAAAAAATGCATAAATTAATTTTAAAAGTGTATAAATTTTGCACTTTAAGCTGCGTTTTAATATAAGTTTTAGGAATTTTTAGATGGAATTTAAGTGTTTTTAATCAAAATTGTGGATTTTTTTGAACCTCTCTGACAAGTTTTGCAGACAGTTAAGACGATTTTTAGCTTAGTGTTAAATGTAAAAGCAGTAATTTTGAGTTTTTGGATGTTTCCGTTGTTACTACACATGAATAAACAGATGCGCAGGTGTTGTTTTTTTTTGACAGATACATTTATATGTAAGGATGTCACCACGATGTTATGTTTAGTAATTGTTCTGTTTTTTTGTTGCTGTCATTGATTAGGATTATGAGGACAGTGCTGAAAATGGAGACAAATTGGAGAAATCTAAACTGCGTACCCATATTCAGGTATGTAATATTTTTGTTGAGATATGTACTGAGTGATTCATTATCCATTAAGATGATACATTTATAAAGTTTCTAGAATTATGGTGTATCACTGTAATGATAAGACATATGGAAATGCTTACTTAATCACCTTTAAAGTAGAATGCTTTTATACACACATGCTTGCGTTGTTAATCCAGCCATTATCAGAAATACTATTGGAAGGCTTGTTTTGGTATATTCAGGAGTTTGGTTGTCATTCAGGGGCATGGTTCATACATTCTGGCAGTGTGTTACCAGTCATTTCTACATGCAAGTTTTGCATAGGTTGGGAGAAGCAGTTTGGAGGAAATTCTGCAACAAATGACAAGGGTTGTCTCTGCATAACAATAATGCAGTTACCTGTCATGTAGCAATTCCTTACTGACAAAAAACTTCCCATTGTTGCCTGATCACTGTACTCACTTGGTCTTATTCTGACTGACTGTTGGTCATTTCCTATCCTAAAAATGGGTCTTGAGGAGATGTGTTTTGCAACCATGGAGGAAATTGAATTGAATGTAATGGCCAAATATTCCAAAAGAAGCCTTTAGCCAGTGCTTCCTACAACGGCAGGATTGGCGGGACAAGTGGGTATGTGTCAAATAGTACTACTTTGAAGGTGATTAGATAAACATTTCTATCATTACAGTGCTGAACCACAATTCTTGGAATTGTTTGACTGCCAGTGTGTTAATAATGAGCCATTTTGAATGAGAGCATTTTGAATTTCCAATACAAAATTTGCTACAGAAATAGTATAAAACAACATAATATAAAGTAGATTGCAACTATAAATGCTAATACATTCAATTTGAATGGGGCACTCATAAGAATGTACAGTTATTTATTATACAAATAATGTCTGCATTTAAGTCTTCTAAAATGAAGTTTACTTCTATTTATATGCTATGGCAAAACAGGAATTGCAGCAGGAACTTCAGGAAAGAATTGACGAGCATCAAAATCAGTTGACGACTCTGCAGGATCATTACGCTTCACAACTGCATCATCAACAGGAGAAGCATCAACAAGAGATCGAAACACTGAATGACACTCTAAACCTTTATAAAAAGCATTCGGAAAATGCTGAAGGTATTTAAATAATAAGTGTTAAAGTTTGATAGATTATTGCATTTGACTTAGTTCCGTAAGTGCTATTTTAGAAGTGGAGGAGTACGTTGAAGTGAAGAGAGCATACAAAGAAGCACACAGAGAGATAGAACAGTTAAGAACAAAGGAAAAAGAGAGAGAAAGAGAGATACAATTGCTAAATCTCCAACTGGATAAGATTCGAGATGAGAAATTACAGGTATTTCACTCAATTTGAATAATTCAGGTCTTTTATGGTTGACATATACATACTTTGGACAAACAAGTGGCATTTGTCATTTTCATCAATAGAAGGTAAACTTTATTATATTTATTTATTATTTTTTATTTTTTTGTCTTTTGTAGAAGGAAGAAGCATGCAGANGTACAAGATACACTTAACTCTTGGTATTCGCGAGGGTTTAGGTTTTTTAAAAATCTCATGAAAATCAAGTAAGGATGCCTATTGGGAAAATTGAGTTTGGTTTTGCCGAATATTTCAAAGATAAACATTAATTATAAAATAAAACATTGCAAATTTTCTAATATAAAACGTTTAAATTACTTCTAAGAGGCAATGAATAATTTTATTAAAATACTGTAATACATAAGAAAACAAAAATTTCAAATAATGGATTGAAAATTCAGCAGGAAAATATTGAGAAAAAAAAATTTAAGGAGAAAAGTTTACATATTCTGTAGAATAACTTTTATAATATACTGTATAATTTTAAATATTTTGATATAAATAATGAACAATAATCATCTTTTAAAGCTATAATATAAACATTGAACATTAGACAAANGTCAGACCCATGCGACTAACAGAAGGTTAAAATACATTTTAAAAAATTTTTTTAGAAGAAAAATTGTACAATTGTAAGAGGCACTTTTTTTGTGTTGTAACCCATAACAGTCATTATTTGGAAGTCGCAAGTTTGTTTGCACCTAATAGATACATTATTCTTCTGTTTGTGTACATAGTTATTCCATTGATATAGTAATGTAATTAATCCATTATTCTGCATACAAATGAGAAGTAATGTAGAATTTTTTGTATTACAGAAGCAAAGAAGAAGATAGAAGAACTGGAAACCGAGAAAGATAAGGTCTGCAATGATATATATACAACTAAACTCAGATTCTTGGCACAACTGGAAGCACACCACGTATATTTTTTCTTTCAGACTGCTTTATTCTTATTTATTGCACGTTTGTCTAGTAATTATAGTCTTTTCTTTTTGTCCCATTATTAATTTCTCCCTTCCAAGTGGCTTAGGTTGGATTTATTTTCAAACAAAATGCTATATTTGCTATGCACTCCAGTCGGTTGAGGTTCTTTTATTGCCTTCATTTTCTTTAGCATTTTTTTTGTTAAGATCATAATATTAAATTGCTTTCCAAGATTAATCGGTCACTGATTATGTTCAAATGTCAAATGCAAATTAGGCAAGCACTTCTGAAGTTCTTCAAGACGTTCAAGCGGCACAGCAGAGAATAAACAAAGAAACCATGGATTCACATATCAGGTTGCTACACGAGAAAGAAGATATTGTTGGAGAAATGGTGCAAGTAAATGAACAGGTAAGCTGAATGGCAAGTTTTTGAGAAACTCTTCATTTTACTGGCATTTATATACTTTACTACTTTTAGAAAGTGAACCTAGAGAAACAGTTGAGATCTCTACAAAAGAATAATTCTATCCTTGCTTCGGATGTTAGAAAGATTATAGAATCTTTAGGAAGTGAAGATCGTGGGGATATTTTGAGTGAGTGCTGTCATTGTCTAGGTATATTAATGTAAACAAAACCAATGTGCGTTCATTAATTTGCAAAATTTTGTAGCTCTCATAGCCAGATTAGACTCAGAAACATTTGCCCTGAAGTCATATAACGATCAGTTAAGCAGCTGTCTCTCTAATTTAGATAAGAATTCAGGTATGTTGAGTTGTTATAAATTTTCTTTTGTAGTTTTTAATGTTGAAAAACATTAATTCTAAGAAGAAACTTTTCCAAAAGATTGTGAAAATGGCAGCTTTCGGCAATCTGTTGATGGCAGAAGAGTAGAAAATCTAATGGTAGGTGTTTGTTGAAAGTTAAATAGCACAAAATAATTTGCATTAAATGTAGCAAAATTTAATTTATTATGCTCGGTTGTGGGTTTTCGTGTTGCAAACAGGCCATATAGGATTTTCTGGATTTTCTTTATGTATCTAACATCTAACTAAAGTTTAATGGGAAAGTCCTCTCACTAGGCATTCCTGAGTGGATAAAATCATCAAATGCCAGTAGTTGGTTGTGGGTTTGCAAATCATTAATGGGCTGACTGTTTGGAGGTGTTCTGGGTTTTCTTCGTGTGTCTAAGATTTAAATAAGGCTTTTTTCCCACCAATAGGCCTCTTGGGTTGAGTCACTCCCAAGAGGGCTTTCTACGGGATATATTTTTAAGAATATTTTTATGTGAATGATAGATGGATATGTCTACTTCTGACGATTTCGACCGTGAATCTATAGCATCTTCCATGTCAGAACTTTCAATGCGTAATAAAGAACTGGATGTTCAGGTGAAAGGATTGCAGAATCAGATAGAAACCTACGAAAGGGAGATCAAGTATTTTGAACTGCTCCATTCTGACTGGCAGACGGAACGACAAGCTATGGAAGATCTACTATTGAGGTTGAGAGCCCAGTTGAGAATGAAGGAGGAATCGCTTTCTGTCATTACAGCAGAGAAGGTAAATATTAATTTAAGTAGAAAGGAAGTTATTTTCTTTGATTCAAATTTCTTCCCTTCAGGGTTTGATAGCCGTTAAGAAGAAATGTCCCGAAGAAATACAGTTGAAGCCTCCTTCGGTAGAAACTGAAGAATTTGATACTAGTGATAACTTATTGGAGAGACTCGAGGAACAGATAGAAGAATTGATGCAAGTTAATGCACAATTTGAGAATGAAAAAGAAGTTTTGAAAGCTGAAAATGTAAGTAACAAATCACAAATTCTTTAAAATAAAGTATTTAAGTAGTAATAATTTGTTGTGTTGTTAGAATGCTCTATTGGAAGAATTATCAACTCTTCGGAACTTACGACAGTCATTTGATTCAAAATTAGGTATGTTGCTTCGTCAGTAGAGGGTTAAAAATAGTAGGTATAATCTGACAAATAATTCTAGATAAAAGTGATAACAATGAAAGAGAACCTTCCAAAGTGGATAAAATTGTAATGGAAAAGGAAGAACAGATCCATGCTTTGAACAGTGAAAAAGAGTCATTAGAAAGTAGTTTATTAGAGTTGGATCAACAGCATCAGGTATGCATTTTAATGAAGTAAGTGAGAAGCATTTTCCTATATTTTTCACTTATTTTTATAGGAAGAGATTGAAGAATTTGTTAATTTAAAAATGACACTGACCAAAAGTAATAAGAAGTTACAGTCTGAGATAGAAGAACTAAAATATGCTTTAGAAATGAAAGAAACTGAAAACTGCCAGCTGAAAACTGAAGTTGAAACGGTACGAGAGCAGCTGGCTGACCTATTTGAAGCTGCTGGCAAGAAGAGTAGTTTTGGAGATAAAGAACAGGATGATGTGAAAAAAGAAACAGTACAGTCGATACTGAATGCGTTTCAAGCCATTAATTTAGATAATATTCACTTGGAGGAAAATATCACCTCGCTAGAAGAAGGTAGAAAAGAATTGGAGGACACCATTAAAGAGTTAGAGAATAAGAATAAAAATCTGGTACTAAGAAATGAAGAACTTGAGATGGACGTTAGAGATCTGAGAGATGAGAATAGACAGCTGTCAGAAAAGCTACAAGAAACAGAAATAGCATACGATAATCAGCCTGTAAATGAACAAAATTTGGAGAAGCTCATAGAAGTGGAAGCGAATTACGAGTTTCTCAAACAGGAAAATTCAAATCTGAAGGAAGAATTAGAAAAACAGCATTTAAAATATACAGAAATGGCTCAGAAACATTTAGAAATGCAAGACAGTCAATCAAAAATCGAAATTTCTTACGAAGAAAACTGTAAAAAGTTGGAAAAAGTGAAAGCAGAGTTGTCACAGAAGGAAGATGAAATCCATGCCTTAAAAGATATCAAATCTGCAAACTGTAATTGTTCTGATAAGAGCATTCAGGTGGATTTTACCATACAAGATGTTGGAGAATTGCAGAATGAATTGAAAGTTACCCAACAAAAATTACTAAATTGCACAAAAAGATTGGATTCGATAACTGATGGTAATTTCTGTGGTGGACAGCAACAGACATTCGATTGTTCGTGCGACGATTTAGAAAATTGGAAAGAGAGATGCACTGAAAAGCAAATGATCAACTATTCCTGTGAAGAACAGAAGAATGGATTAGTGTTAGAAAATAAAGAATTTTATAACTTAAAAGAGAATTTAAATAATTCTGTAGCAGATAAAGAGAACAAAATGTTAGAAAAAATCATTTCTGACCAGAAAGAAGAATTAGAAAGCCTTAAAAAACAGTTTGAATCTGCAAATCGCTCAAGTAAATCTGTGGGAAATCAGTATGATGATTCCAAATTTAGAAAATCGCAAGAGAAAATTCAACAGCTAGAAATTGAAAAGGAGCAGATGCTAGCCGTGTTGAATGAGAAATCAAGAGAATGCAGTAATTTGAAGAATGAAGTGCATCGTCTAGTTAATATTGTTTCTGCGGAGAAGCAAGCAATTTCTAAACTACAAGAAGATAATCAGGAGTTAATAAAACAGAGAGATTCTCCAGATCAAGAAATGACAAAAGAAGCAGTTCAAAATCTCTGCAGACTTGTTCGAGACAAAGATCTAGAAATTGAGGCATTAAATCAGAAAAATGGCACCCTGTTGGCAGTCATTCAGCAGTCTTCGGACAGTGATCATACCAAAGAACTCCTGAAACAGTGTGAAACTCTAGCAAAACAATTGGGTGCTTACAAGGCAGATCGTGAGCAAATCATCAATGCACTTAACCAAAAGCATCAAGAGAGTTTGAAGTATCATGCTGAGGTTCAGAAGTTGAAATCACTGTTAGAAATGGAAACGCACAAGCTCAACACTTTAACTCACAATCATGAATCAGTATCACAACAATATGAAGAGAAGCAGAAGTCTCTAGTTAACACACAAAATGAAGTGATAGGTCTGAAGCAGAGAGTCTCGGATTTAGAGAAGCAGCATACAGATCTGGAAGAAAAGTATAGAGAACTGCTAAATAGAGAAAATGGAAAAGCAATGGCTAACATAACAAAAGAAGAACTGAATAAGAATTATGAAGAGTTGGATAAATTGAAAGAACTAGTGGAAGAGAAAGATAAATGGATCTTTGAAAAGGATCAGTTGATACATGGGCTATCACAGGACTTACAGAAGCTGTCGGATAACTTTAAACAGAAGGAGAACGAAGTCGGAATCCTGCAGAAACAAACTGAAAATCTTGTTTTGCACCTGAAAGAAACTAAAGATGAAAGCAATTCCACAAAAGAAAGGAATCAAAATCTCCAACAGCAACTAACTAATTACCAAAGTGAAATGAATCTAATGAAAGAATTAAATGAACGATTAAACATGACTGTGCAGGAGAAGGATTTTGAGATAAAAGCACTTCAGGAAAAGGTAAGTACACTGACGCCAATGGTCCAGGAGAAGATGAATGAAACGGGGAACATGAAACAGATTCTGATGGAGAGTGATGCCATGCAACAGAAAGCTCAGCATTTTCATCATGAACGAGATGAGGCACTTCTGGCTCTCAGTCAGAGGCAACAAGAGAATGAAGAACTAAAAAATGAGGTGGGTTGGAATATTGCATTATTTTGTTTTCTTAGAAGCTATGTACTAAATACTTCAACAATTTAAAAGATTCAGAGACTGAAAGAGAGGGAGAAACGTCTGAATAATGAATTAGAAAGGCTGCGAGATCACTTGCTACAGGTGAGAAGTAATTTTTGAAAGTTAAACAGTGACGAATAACGTCCACGTTTTTTACAAAAGAATACTTTCAGGTGGAAGAGAGTTACACAAAAGAAGCATTAAAGGCAGAAGAACGAGAAAAAGAGCTAAGGAATAGGTTGAACCAAGCTGAAGAGCAAGCAAGAATGTCCTCGAATGCTGTACATAATGCAAAGTAGGGAAAGGAAACTTTTGTCATCATCAGTTTTTCTTGTAGCTTAGAAAAATTAAATTTTAATCATGTTTGTTTTGTTTTCTAGTCAGCATGCTAACATGCAGTTGGAGAGTTTGCAAGAACAGTTATCCTTGATAGTGAAACAGAGAGATCGAGCTCAGAATCAGGTGTCTGAGTACGAAGACAAAGTACAGCAATACGCTGCTTCATTAGCAAATCTTCAATTGGTCTTGGAACAGTTTCAGAAAGGTTATTATCATTTGGTTAAATATGCACTTCATGTATATGTATGTATATCGTCATAACGATTTTTCCATAGAACGAGAACGTGACATTCAGATACTGAAGAAACAGCATGCTGCGGAAGTTGCCAAAGAGAAATCAAAAGTAAAAGATTTGGTGATGGATATACAGGAGAAAGAAGTAAGTGTTTAAAGATATAGTGTATATATATATATTTATCATTATTAGCTGTCGTAACATGCATATGTTACAGCTAAAGCCTACAAATTGGATAAAGATAGTATTAACTACAAAGTCATTTAGTTAAAACAGTTAACAATCTGTTAATTATGCACTTTATTCAAGTCGCAAAGGATAAAGCTGACATTATTCAAAAATGAATGAAGCTGGAAGTCTCAGGAGGCTCGGGATTGAATCCAGGCAATCAACTCTCCAGTAATTTTTTATAGGCATTTTTCCATGGATATGGCAGACCCCATCTCTCACTATCCCTTTATCTGGATAAAGTTCACATTTCAAGTTTTATTTTTGGGTAATGTTGGCTTGTAACTTGGATAAACACACTTGATATGGAAAAAACCAAAAGTAAAGATTATTACTCGCTTTAACCAAAATTCTTGGATAAAGTTATCATATATATTCTGTTATAATAGCTTAATGGGGAAAATGGCAATGAAAGTACTTTTTTCAATTTTTTACTAATTTTCTTTTCAAGGAACAACTGTCGGAAGCTAAAGAAGCGTTGGATGCTGCTTCTCGTCTTAGTGAACAGCTAGACACTAAAGAAGAAGTCATTAATTCCCTAAAACAAGAAGGTAAAAATAATGTGTTATGTACACCTTCTCTGGGATTGTTTTTTAAGTTTGTGCCCTCATTTGTTTTTGAGAGTCGTCACATTTGACAGTTTTCTCAGCATGGTCATGTTACTCTTTGTAAAGTGTACCAAGAATTAACTATTGCACAAGAATGTAATACATGGAATGCATGAGCAGATGTGGTTACCAGTCCAATTTCATCTTGTAGCTCTGGGCTTTTATTGATATTCAGGGTACCTTATTTCATGTTGTTTGTAATGACAGTTAGCCCAATTGTTTCCACTTCTTAAATCCTTAAATTTTATCTTACTTTAAGAACACTAGATTCTGTTTTACTGTGAATTCAATGGCTGTTTTCTGTTCAATCTTTTTGTAATTAAGTGCATGTGTGCGCCTGCAAACTGTGTATGAGGGCTGTTCAAAAAAGACCAAACTTTTTGAATCATAGAAACTCATATTTGGAATGAAATGTGGTTACTGGTGTTATTTAATGGCAAGTTTTGCCAACACTGTGCCACTTGCCACATTACATATCCACATTAGTCATTGTGCTATGACAGAGTGAATATAAACATGTATTAGTTGGATTTCTGAAAATGAAAGATCTTGAATAGCATGATGAGAAGATCATGATATTCGACCTAGAAGTTTTAAGGTGTTTGAGAAATGCAGGCACAAGAAAAGGCCTAAATTGAGGGAAACTGAATGTTACACCATTACAACATGTTGGCTTGAATTACTACTGATCTACAATTATATGGCAAGATATAAGACACCCATTACACCCCACAAATCTTACTCTATAGACATGGCCCCAACAGTCTTTTTCCTGTTTCCCAGGTTGAAAACAACCTTGAAACAATCTTCAAACCGTACAAGAGATAAAGGAAAATTCTATATGAGACCTATACATCATTCCAGAAGTGAATTCCACCATTCCAATCATGCATGTCAGTATATGGGTTCTACTGTGAAGGGGACAAGGTCTAATAAACTTGTACTGTACATAAGTAATAAAGTTTTTTTGAACAACCCTTGTATTTTATAAAAGCATGCACAACACTATTTTTTCCTGAATCTTTGATCATCCACTAACTAATATTTAAATGAAGTCTTTAGTGTTCATTTCATGCCATGAAAGTTTCAGCAAGAATATTCTGTCAGGTCCTGCAAAACTTTTGATGATATTCCAATAACTTGTGTTAAAGTTTCTAATTTCAGCCTGGAATACCATAGTTCAGAAGCATGTGTCATTTATAATTTTTTCATAGTCATTATTAACAATTTCTCACTTTCAGTATCGACGATAACCTCTGCACTTCAGAAAGCTCTGGAGGAAATTAGAGACATGAAAACCAATACAGAAGGGAAGGTAGACAGGTAAGATGAAACAAACTATATATTTTTTTAAATTTTATTATGAATGTCAAACTGAAATGCTATTATTTTTTTGTTAGGCAAGTTATGAAAAGTCTAGTGTTGGGCTATTTTGGTGCTCCCTTGGGTCAGAAACCTGACGTTATACGTCTTCTTGCTAGAGTGTTGGATTTCAGTCAGGAAGAAATGTCTAAGGTACCATTACTTTTCCTTTTATCCTATATCTCTGAGCAACTGTGTAAAATACAAAACCAAAAATTCTCTGAATGGCATCCACTTTACATCTGATCTAGATTTTTGAAAATTAATCAATCATTAATTTGTAATTATGAAATGTTGGATGAGATAGCACTTAATGCTTCTAGTGCCAAATTAGTTTGTTAATTTCACATAAAAGTAGCTCTATTTTTAACAATATTTTAGCTTTTTAATAAAAAGTAAGACATCTGGATACGAGTCCAATTTTTCTTGCCATGTCTAATCACCAGGAACAACTATTTCCATTGCAGAGACAACCTTTCTTTAGAGGCTATGCCTCTGCACAAATATGTAAAACAGTTTAAAATGTCCACAGGTGACAATCCCAACACAATTAAAAATATAATATTTGTTTGTAGAAAAGGGCTGGCAGAATTACAATTTAATAAAAAGTAAGACATCTGGATACGAGTCCAATTTTTCTTGCCATGTCTAATCACCAGGAACAACTGGAAATAGTTGTTCCTGGTGATTAGACATGGCAAGAAAAATTGGACTCGTATCCAGATGTCTTACTTTTTATTAAATTGTAATTCTGCCAGCCCTTTTCTACAAACAAATATTTTAGCTATTTCTGATTTCCATTCTTATCTTGCACCCTTTCGCAAAAGAAAACCATTAGATTTGGTATTACAGTGTCAAAAATGTCTGACTTAATAAACATTTGTATGAGATTACTAATTTCTTGTGTGTATACCAGTTGCAGTGCAAAGAGAATGATTTATTGCCGTAAATGAACTCTGATATCTCTCACAGTAGCAGAAGAGAAATGCATTTCCTCAAGATGTCTGAGTGTTCCTGAATATACTGCAACATGCAGTTTTGCATAGTACTGACATTATGGCCCAATGATTGGCAGTGATGTACAGTGACAATCCATATTTTTAAAGTAAAATCTGCACAAGACATACATCTTTACTTCCAAAAAACACTTAAATTATTTAGGTGGTAACATCAAAAATAAATTAGATCTTTAGCACAGGTTTTATTATGTAACGTATAGAATTTTCGCAACCTCGCAATCTTCAAAGTACAGTGGAATCTCACTAAATGAGCACCTTGCATAACGAGCAACACAAATTGTACAAAAATTGACTCGCTTAATGCAATGTTTCGCATAATGAGTAACAAATGGAGGGGAAGTCCTGGATTATGAGCATGCTCCATCAGTCTGTGTTTAGCACTCTTTCCACTAGCATCTTAGTGTAGTTTGTGATCAAACATTTTTCCAAATTAGTGGTTAGACATATTACGTATAAACATCAACAACTATTGCCCGTTATATAATAAACATGCCAACGATATGTCAAATTCTTGCATTACATAAAGGCTATAATTAAATATTAGAAATTAATTAATTTGACTAGAGGTATGCAGTTATGCTGCCATCTCATCTTAATGACCAATTTCAAATTAAATTTTTAAAATGTCTAAATAAAAAATTAATTATTTATAATTATTAAATTTAATACGAGATGGCAGCATAACTGCCTACTTCTAGTCAAATTAATTAATTTTTAATATTTAATTATAGTCTTTATGTAGCCCAATAATTTGGCATATTTGGTGTATTTATCAGACATATTATCTGTGATGTTTTTTGTTTTCTGCAAATCAAATTTGCATTCAGTTGGTTTATTCCATGCTAGAAGAAAAGATGATGATGATTCATGCTCTTTAACAATGTATATTGTATAATTTTCTTTGAATAAACATTATACATAAAATATTTTGAGTAACTTTTGGCATGGAATGCCTTATCATATTTTACATTAATTTATGTGAGAAAAATTGTTTTATTTAACAAGTGTTTCTCATTATGAGTAAGATTCTTGAACGAATTATGTTCGTTAAGCGAGGTTCTACTGTATAAATCCTTACTGCACCTGTAAACTTGTGCCAGCATCTGTATCATTTATCAACAGTCTCGGAAGCCATTTTTTGCAATATCAATTTGCTTTCATACTGTTGCTGCCACTCTTCTCCTTAATAGACTGCATCCTTTCAACATCTCTCTCATTTTAGAGAACACAAGTTTGTGGATGGAAATTGAGAGACGAAAGGAATTAGAAAAGCATTGTAACAGCATATGTACTGTACAATCATACAGTCACAAACAGAATAGGTTCTAACTGGAGATCACCTGAGAAAGGGTGATCTCCAGTTAGAACCTATTCTGTTTGTGACTGTATGATTGTACAGTACATATGCTGTTGATCATTATTAAAATTTAATCAGTCAGTTTATAACTATGTCGCAACTATATCTCAAGTGTGCAACCACTAATTTTATAGTAGTTTTTATAATAGTTGCAGTTCCAACACAACTGAAAATTGCAATGTGTACACCACTTTAAAGATATCACAAAAATGCCTTTCAGTTCCACTTTGACAGATAGTATGGATGTTAATGGGTATTTCTGCAGAAAATACTTAAGTTGAAGATGGTTTTCTGCAAACTTATTCAAATTGTGGAATTTTTTTGTCACCTCTGTACTTTAATTAAGATACTTTTAATATACAGGCTGGTATCAAAGTGGGAAGAGAAAGCAGTCAAGTTACTCCTAACCAGAGAAGTAAAGGGTGGATATCGGGTCTTTTTGGAAAAACTCCATCGCCTGTGCCAGAAAACCAGTCAAGGAGAGATGAGAGAGAAGCAAATAAGGTGAGTTTCCTAATTGATGTCTTTTAGTTCAGGATTGGGTGGACAAGTTTATAAACATATCAGTCTACCATTCTGTGGAGCCTGAAATCAAATCTAGGCAGGCAAAAGAACACCAGAAAGTTTTTCTTGCCTTTTTTAGTTTTATGGCTTGTCTGTACTAGATATTTTGGACCCTGTTTCATACCACCCGGCTGCTTCCATGACGAGAGGGTCTTTTATATGCCATTTTTATGCCCTGGTGGGTTATAGAAATGACCCTCTTAGTACCATAGAAAGAGAAGAGTAAAAAATTTTGTCTCTATTGCTTTCCCATTTCAAACTCACCATTTTCTCCACTTTTTTTAGTCTTTCACGGCACTTTTCGTCCAGTTTCTCCAGGAAGAGTCTCAACCTAGATTTAATGTGAAACTACCAGCAGAAGAAATGGCCAGGGAACTGGCAGAGAAAGGCCACAGGCCACAGAGACCTCCTAGAATCAACCCCTTCGATCCGTCCGTCTCCTCCCCCACTCCAACTGTCACGACTCGGACGAATCTCGACCATCCCCTCATTCGCCCCATTTCCTCTTCTCTACCCACTTTCACTCCCATTCTGGTGACGGCAGACGAGGCTGCTTCGAAATCCAACACGTTCCTGCGTGAGGTGTTAAATTGATTAAGTCCGTGGGCCAACATCGGAACTCTCCCTGGCAATATGCCACGTGCTTTCTTGGAAATTCTATTTGTGGAAATATTTATGTATCTATAGTGTACAGATTTTCTTTGTAATAAAGACTTTTTATACCATCAATATCTTGTGTTATGCCATGTTGCTATCACACTACACACACTTAAAAATCCTCAAATTTCGGAGAAATCAATACGGATGAAAATCCTTCCAAACAAAAATTAAGAAGGATTCTTTCATTTTTTCGTGTTATAAATTACAATGGATCCATTGTTTACGTATTTAAAATGTATTTAATGCACAATGTAATATGTACTCTTAGAATGTATGGAACGTGCGATAAATTGCAAAAGATCCATTGCAACATTAAAATCTCTATTGCATTACTATCTTTTGTAATGCTGCAATCCATCCAGACAAACTGCACCTAGGAGCATTTGAGATTGTATGGTCCTTGCAAATTTGGTATCTGATGAATATAATACAATACTTTGTTATCCCAAATGGTGCAATGCTCAATTTTTCAGAAATTCTTGCCACTTCATTGTTGCCTGGTCGAAGTTACAATGGAAATGATTAGTGATGTAACGAATATTCGGTTACTATTCGGTATTCGCTATTCGGCCCAATACCGAATACCTAAAAACAGGAGTAAGAAACAACAAAAACATAGTAAATTAATCATTTTGGTATTTAGATTTAATGTTATCGGGTTGGTGTTGTTTGTTTATATTTATTTATAACTTATAACATGCACAAAATAGAAAAGAAAATAATATTAGTCACATGTATTCACAATTAATTACAAAGATCAGCAGACGTACACACCTATTCGTTCGAGAATCGTCACACATCTGAGGTCTGACCCTGCCTATCCTTTTTAAAGAAACCGATAACTATTAAAAGACTGATGACAGTTGCAATGATGTAAAAAATTTAGCAATTACAACAATCGAAAAGTTTAAAATTGTAACCGAAAAACAAAAGCCAGGTGCAGCAACCGAAAACAACGACCGTTAGATCCGTTAGGAAACCGTTGGTCCCGTTGAATAACCGTTACAAAACCGTTAGAATTCAAATTTCCCCATTTAACTTAATGCATTGAACTATAATCGTGAATAACTCCTCAAAAAACATTACCTATCCCCACCCAAATTTAGGTACTACTATATTTACGTCCTCTGTAAAGAACCCTTTAGTGCCCCCCCCGGAAATTTGTCCCCTACCCGCTAGGCTCGGCCGAAATTTATGGAATTAAAATTTAATTACTTCCCCCCCCTAATTAGCGTAATTAAGCAAATAACATACCAAATTCCTCAGAGAGGTAAGACAAGTGCCCTTGCAAAACCCTATCAACGTGAAATATGATGAAACTAACGCATAAATCGTTACAACAATGACAGTGCCGTCACGTCTACCGTGGCGAAGTGACAACGAAACATTAAGCAATGTTCTCGTATTTGATAAAAGACTGTATTACGCTGTTGTTTAAACGTCTATTACTGGCCAAGGCAACTTATTATAATTAAAAAACAATTTTAAATTTAATTTTATAACCGTTATAATTTGAATATTAGATTCGTTACGGTTATCCGTTACGGATTTTCCGTTATAGGGCGTTGCCTAATGTTCTAAAAACGTTCAAACCGTCCAATAGCATTAATCGTCCAATCGGAGTATTAGAATTTGCCGTTTACGACCAATCAGGAAACGAGGACGGCTATAAATTGACTTCAATTCTCGACGGTTACATCAAGTAACGTCACAATTTTTACTGCTGTTCGAGCGTATGCCGTTTGCTAGTCTTGTTCTGGGTTACTTCTTTCTTTTAAATAGAATTTTGGTAAGCCACATTTCAATTATAATTATTTTTAATCTAATTTTAAATGGAATAATCACTAGAAGGATCTGGTGTCTAGTTTCAAGCAGTTATTGAAGGTTTGATGGACGTCACTCTATCCTGCGAAGGAAAAAACAAAATGAAAGCGCACGAATTGATACTGAGCGCGAGTAGTCCACTTTTTTTAGTCTTTCACGGCACTTTTCGTCCAGTTTCTCCAGGAAGAGTCTCAACCTAGATTTAATGTGAAACTACCAGCAGAAGAAATGGCCAGGGAACTGGCAGAGAAAGGCCACAGGCCACAGAGACCTCCTAGAATCAACCCCTTCGATCCGTCCGTCTCCTCCCCCACTCCAACTGTCACGACTCGGACGAATCTCGACCATCCCCTCATTCGCCCCATTTCCTCTTCTCTACCCACTTTCACTCCCATTCTGGTGACGGCAGACGAGGCTGCTTCGAAATCCAACACGTTCCTGCGTGAGGTGTTAAATTGATTAAGTCCGTGGGCCAACATCGGAACTCTCCCTGGCAATATGCCACGTGCTTTCTTGGAAATTCTATTTGTGGAAATATTTATGTATCTATAGTGTACAGATTTTCTTTGTAATAAAGACTTTTTATACCATCAATATCTTGTATTATGCCATGTTGCTATCACACTACACACACTTAAAAATCCTCAAATTTCGGAGAAATCAATACGGATGAAAATCCTTCCAAACAAAAATTAAGAAGGATTCTTTCATTTTTTCGTGTTATAAATTACAATGGATCCATTGTTTACGTATTTAAAATGTATTTAATGCACAATGTAATATGTACTCTTAGAATGTATGGAACGTGCGATAAATTGCAAAAGATCCATTGCAACATTAAAATCTCTATTGCATTACTATCTTTTGTAATGCTGCAATCCATCCAGACAAACTGCACCTAGGAGCATTTGAGATTGTATGGTCCTTGCAAATTTGGTATCTGATGAATATAATACAATACTTTGTTATCCCAAATGGTGCAATGCTCAATTTTTCAGAAATTCTTGCCACTTCATTGTTGCCTGGTCGAAGTTACAATGGAAATGATTAGTGATGTAACGAATATTCGGTTACTATTCGGTATTCGCTATTCGGCCCAATACCGAATACCTAAAAACAGGAGTAAGAAACAACAAAAACATAGTAAATTAATCATTTTGGTATTTAGATTTAATGTTATCGGGTTAGTGTTGTNTACTGAGCGCGAGTAGTCCACTGTTTAACAATATTTTTATGGATAATCCCACTAAATATCCGAATCAACCAAGGAAGAAGTCGAAATAATCGAAAAATCCTTCGCTAATCCATCTCGAAGTCGATGATGAGATCGTAAGGGGGTGAGTATATATCATTTTATTTCGTAAATTGTTATTTAAATGTCTTCGTATTTCAAAAAATTTATAGATTAAAAACGTAATACGAAGCTAATATAATTTATTACATAACAATTTTGGTTAATATACTGTAAATTTTCAGGAAAATGAAGGTGAAAATTTCGATCGATTATCCGAAGATTCTACAATTCGGGATTTATCTCTCTTCAATATTCGCCTGCAAGTTCCGATATTGGTAACCGATTTATTCCATAAATAAATTCATTATATATATATATATTATTTTAAATGTTAAAGTTTCTATAGAACTTCCAGCGACGTCCAGTTAAACCTGTTTGGACCAAAACGTTTCCAACGATCCTCATGAAGAACCTTCAATGTCGGAGCCATCGGCAACCTGTACTTCCCGTTACGATTCGAATTTATCTGAATCAAATAATTCTAAAGGTGAGTTATTTATTTTTTATACGTTTATTTCTATACCGAATTTACAGGTGTAATTCAGAATTTATTCTGTGAATGGTTAATGGTAATTTGTTTAATTTCTTTATTTTCTGTTCTGAGATATTAAANGCGACGTCCAGTTAAACCTGTTTGGACCAAAACGTTTCCAACGATCCTCATGAAGAACCTTCAATGTCGGAGCCATCGGCAACCTGTACTTCCCGTTACGATTCGAATTTATCTGAATCAAATAATTCTAAAGGTGAGTTATTTATTTTTTATACGTTTATTTCTATACCGAATTTACAGGTGTAATTCAGAATTTATTCTGTGAATGGTTAATGGTAATTTGTTTAATTTATTCTGTAAACTTGGGTAACGTATGACGAATAATCTTGTATATGTATATAGCGGAATCCAATTAATTATTATTAAATTAAATCTTTAGAAATTAGTAATATAATAAAAGTACTGTTAATGTGTTTGCTTGTATATATAATTTGTATATATATATCGAAATATTTATATGTAAGAATTGTTACGAGTCTTTGTATGTCGTGATTTATTTGTATGTAATTGAAAATCTTGGTTTGTATTTTTATAATTTTTTTTTGTTTTAATAAAAAAATATTTTTAAAAATTACGATTTCCATTCATTTCTTTACCGTTAAATCCTTTATAAACTTATAAATACGTGTACGCGATTAGATAAGACGGGTACGATTATTTGATTGCATAGAGTTAAGCAGCGTAATTCTTTTTACTTACGTAATAATCATTAATTAGTAATCTTTTTCGGCTATTATACAGGGAAAGTATGGCGATCGATCAAAAAATTACCCCCTCCCACCTAGATTGTTACATTTTTTGGACCTAGAACACTTTGAAATGTCGAAAAATGCAAAAAAAAAAATAAAAAAATCGGGGCTGGTTTTCTATATGAATTTTAGTATTTTTTTTTTCGCCCTATTTGAAGCTTAATAACTCGAAAATTTCTGAAATTTTGCAGGAAGATTTGTTTATTAGGGGGATCGATGCTATTAAATTTTTATAGTTAAAGGTCGAGGGGTCGGGAGTATCTCTAGTAGGGTCGGACATAATGACGACTTTACTCGTTATTAGCATTTACAATTTTTTATAAAACCCGTCCCTACTTTGAAAATTGTGCCTTTTGCCATTTTATAATAATTAAAAATATAAAAACCTTTTTAATAAAATATCGTAACAGATGGCGCCATACAAGCAGTGATAAATGTTGCCTAGAAAGTTAAGTGTGGCAGCCGAATAATTGTAACCTAGCGCTGCATCTGACAATCCAGATGGAGCTATAAAAAACGTGTGCAGTCCGTCCGCCATATTCCTTTTTTCTTTCGGCTACGCTACTCATGACAAGTGAATGTTCTGTACCGACGCGTGTTTGTAACCGATCGAGCTTTACTCAATAAGTGTAAACAAAATCTAGTACATGATTGTATATAAAATTACATGGTGAGATATAAAGCTTCGGTTATTTTATATAATCAATGAACACAGTGCCGGCCCGAAGCAAGTTTTAGGGAGATCCTAGCAAGTGTTAGGATGGAGCGAGCATCGAAGCAAGTGTTAGGATGGAGCGAGATCCTATTATGGCGCCCCCCCCTTGGTTGCCCCTAATTTGATTTTCTTTACCACTGAGGCGCCCCCTAGGACTTAGCGCCTGGATCGAATCCGGACGGGTCAAACAAAATCTCCAGGAATTTTTCGGGGGTCCATCCTGATATGTCGGGCCCTGTCCCTCACCACCCGGCCGCCCCATTGTGGGCCTGGCCGAACCAGTAATGGGCTTGCTAAAAGAGGCTTTCTTAGTGCCCACAGGGCGGAAAGAGTTAAAAAAACCCATATGGCTCCATCCTCTCACATAATCTTTACAGAAACGTAAGGGCGGCCAGTGCGTGGGGTTTTTGCTAGCGATGGCGCAATCTGGTCGACAATATGACATTTTTAACTATACTAATAACAATTAAAAGTAATCAAAACAACTTTTTTCAAACCTATTTTTTTCAATATCTTGTGTGACGTTCTATTTCGGGTAGCTGGCAACACTTAAACTAATTTTCAAACGAAGAAAATGGCGTGTTCTAGAGATACGACCGTATCGGGATTTGTTTCGACGGAAGGGTGCTTAATTAAACTTATGCCAGTTTAATGGTAGAAATGTTAAAACGTATACTTTATGCCAGAGGACAGATTCCCTGCCTTTTCGATCAAGCGAAAATATTATTCGTTTCTAGTTCCGAGGTACGAAGATTTGTTTGTTTCCTGTACTAAATATCTACTGTATTTATGCAATAAGCATTGTCATTCGACGTTGATGGAACCTGTATACAGTACTCTTCATATTAATATCTTGTCAAGTATAAGGCAGATTTAATTTTTAAACATGTATATCTTACATTTGTTATGCATACATTTCTTATATACAGTGTGTTTGAAGACATTTGTCATATTTTATTAATTAGAAGGCAAAATACAGACAGATTAGCATTAAAAGTACTCAGACAGCGAGGCCAAATAAAAGGAATTTATTCATATTTTTTAATCAAGTAAATGTAGGCATATATAAACTTTCAAGTTTCAATTTGAGGCACAATGCAATTTGGTAGAATTTTACCTATGTGCACCATCACCGCCGTGGTCGCAACTGTTCATGCTCCCTCCTCCCATGACTCCTCCGAGAGGGAAGCTGACGGCAGGCTGCCAATTGTTTAAACTCGCTAGTTATTGATTTCCGGTTGTTCTTGAACACACGTATCAATAACTAGTGACGTTAACAATTGGCAGCTCACTTTCGGGAGGAGTTTTTGTTTGTTAAGTTATGGTAACGTAACACTTAAGGCTGGTATACACGGTAAGGAAATCCTTTGAGGATTAACCGGGATTTCTTTTTCTATCTATCCATTTTTAAATAAAAATAATTCTTTATACGTTGGGAGATATTTTAATAAGTTTTGTAAATTACTATGTTCGATCCAGCCAGTTATATCCGAGTTTTTTTCGTCTGTTAAGCACATCCTTTGAGGATTTCCTTACCGTGTATACCAGCCTTTAGGCGATCTGCCTAGGAGGATGCCTTCCGGGAGGTCTTGTTTAAAGGAAACTGGCCCCTATTTGGGCGTTACAGACGTGGAGAAAACCCGGAAAACTCCACGTGGGCAGCCCGTCTGAGCGAGGCGCGAACCCAGTACCGAACTCCCAGTGTTCGGGGTACGAAGACCGCTCGGCCACTGGTGTCCTTTGGGAGCACGAACAATCGTAACCGCCGCCATGACGGTACACACAGGTAAAATTTTACCTGCAATTTTAAATATAAGAAAAAACTATTTTACTATTTAGAAAGTACCATGACAATGAATGTGCATGTGTTCTCTCAGCAACAGAGTGGTTACAATTGCTTATACAATGTTGCCACGTAGCCAACAAATAGAATAATAATTATCAAAAATTTACCACTCTTTGTCAGAATTAATCTAAGTGGTTATGATTTAACTAACTGTATGATAGGTCAAAAAGTACAGATATTTTATTTTTTCTAAGTACGATACAGATGCAGACTATCTGTACTACATACAGATGTACGGTAACCTTATATTAGTATATTTGACAATGCATGTCTTTGCATTTCTATAAAGTTATTATAAGTTCAAAACCAGAAGTGGAGATATTGTAAATGAGGTAGCATTATGGTAAAAATTGATAAATTGGGTATTAATTAAGCAATGGGTAGGTGACTTAATTATATGTTGAAGACGCTAGTTATAACTTGTAGTCGAGCTAGATACTCCCTGCTGTACATTTAACTTAATGGAATACAATGCAATTGAATTACAAAAATTTTAAGATACCAAATATTAAAACAATTAGTATAGTTTTTGATTTAAAGAACAACAACAATTTTTTTTTTTTAATTACAGTAAGTCATTTAGGCTGGAGTAAATGTGGTTCAGATAGTATTGTATTTAGGTCCAGTGAGTAAGGTGTTGAAAACATTCTAAGAATTATCAATTATTAAACATTTATTATGATTTGCTGAACCAGTTGTATTTATTAGACTTCCATCCAACTGTTTCCATTGTGGACCTGGCTAAACTCGTGATGGACGTGATTAAAAATAAAGGTCCTCTTAGTGTCCACACGATGAAAAGAGTAAAAAAAAAAAACTAGACTAGACTACAGCCAGATGTAATCATAGACGTGCACCACAGATTACTAAAGGTTGCGTGTATGTGTGCACGACATCCATAGAAACTTATCTGCAATTCTTATTTGACGTTTTTAAATACAAATAGGAATATTTTTAGTTAGAAATGGGGACATTTTGGGAAGAATTTTCCAATCGGGACAAACTGAAAAAGTGGGATCTATGACAACTTTATTCTTATATACTGTATTTTCATTTTGAATTCATTTAGCATGTCTATAAATATACAAAATATATTTATATAAAATAAAATGATTCCTTACATTCCTTCTGGTTTAAGCATCCAAAAATTTATCCTACATTTTTAAAGGTTCCTTCAACTGTTTGTTAGATATCTTATAATCTGAACATCAGTGTCAATTGGTATAAACTGCATATTGGAGGTTGGGCTGATGACGAAAAGGAAGATTTCTTATTGTCAGATTTACAATGGATATAAAAAATAAAATGTATTTGTTTCTACTTCTAATTCTGTACTATGGTATAAAATAAATATTGAGGATGCCCCCTCTGTCTCTTATGGATTGATACCCATAAATCTGAACATAATACATGTAATAGTTTATAGTATATTACATATTATTGACTGTGGTACTAAATAGTAAATACATCAGCAAATAACCTCAAGTGAGCAATGTGCTTTTTGTCACAAACATATTTTAATTTTAATTACTAGCCATACCCGGTCACGCGTTGCTGTGACTCAAAATGTATCTATTATAAATGTATAGCACTCCCCGCGGAGGGAATTTCGAAAAATCCCTTCTTAGTGTACATTCTCATGACGTACCCTATTAACACGCAATCAAAAATGCAAAATACCGCATCTAAAATAGTATAATAGAAGCCGAATTCTTCACGGTAAGCCTTAATTTTGTCCCTCTCCCCCGGAGGGGGATTTTGAAATCTATATAATATACAAGTTCGGACACGTGAATTTCTTATCTCGCCGACCACGCGACTGTGCCGCGCGATTACCTAACTCATATACGTACTGTACGCATCATGCCCCTCGCCACCCGCTGACATAAAAAATATAACGCTTACCTAGCTAGATGATATCTTTTAATTTATATGAATGTTTAACGGAATAATATACAGCCCATGTCCACCCTGAAGGTCCATTCTAAATATTGGTAAAAGAAATTTTGAAATCGGATGAATAGTTTCGGAGATTACCTGCTACATCCAAACTTACAAACTTTACTTCTTTATAATATTAAGTATAGAAAAGTAAACGATTTTAAAATTATTCCTATAAATTTAAGAAAACATGCAAGCTAAACTTTAAACTGTATTTTCACTTTATATTCATTCCATATTACGACAACAAAAAGAAATAATCTACAGTCGACTCCCTATAACACTGTTGACTATTCCGTTTTATATGAATTCCATGTTGTACGAGTCACTTAGATTTTACAAATACGTGAGCCGTTCACAGCCCGGCACACGTATTTGTAAAATCTAAGT